ATCACCTTATGAAATTCCATCACAGTTATTGCATTGGATCAAGTCCAGATCCAATAGATTCAGATACTTTCTAAATGATTGAACTGATATGCTACTGTAGTTTGTTGATCTTTAGGTGTCAACGCTGCTTCTCTGTGTTTTACACTTGGTCTTCCAAATATGTGAGTAGAGACCAGCCCCACCCCTTCAGCGTATGCAAACTCGCAGAGCTCAGGGTCCATTTATCCCCTGTCAGTGAGGAGACCTGAGCAGACAGGTTTGTCTGGTGAATCAGTCTCGATCGGTCTTCTTTCATACTTTCAGCCGTTTTCATTTTGGGAGCTGTAACAGGTTGGTAGTGAACTCTGCACTAAATGAAAGTTGTGAAAAACAATTAAATCAATAATACTTTACTGCAGTTCTGTTTTTTTTTTTCATAAGATTTACTACTAGAACTAAATTTGAGTCTGAACCTGCAATCAAAAAGCCTGGAGAATCTCACAGACTCTCCTGAAAAGTGTCAGGATTCTCAAGTCAGTAGCTATGAGATGACCTGGGTGAGACAGGCTCCTGGCAAGGGGCTGGAGTAGGTGGCTTACATTGGTACATACTGTATGGCACTCCAACCAGATATTCCCAGTCTGTTGAAGGCCGATTCACTATCTCTGAAGACAGTTCCAGCAGCACACTGTATTTACAGAACAACAGCCTGAAGACTGAAGACACTACTGTGTATTACTGTGCTCAAGAGTCACAGTGAGAGAAGTGAGGCCTGAACCCTGACAGAAACTCTCAAGTATGAAACCACTCAGTCATGACCAACAGATAGTACAACAGTGAAAAAAGGATATTCTCCAATCTCCAACTTAATTCCAACAAATTAATTAGCTGGGGATAAGGTGATTACTTTGATGCACAACAAGACCGATTCCAAATTTTAGTTGCAGTTGCTGAACGTTGAGATTATGTATCATAGATCTGAGTCACAAACACAGAAAGTGAGATACAGAGTAATAACATTAAAAATCTATGTAATATATCTGATATTTACAGTGGCTGTACAGTACATCACAGAGCATTTACTGGAGTTCATTCATACCTAGGATATACACATAATAAAGGAGCAGTGGCTCTGTGGCTAAGGATCTGTGCCTGTGGTTGGAAGGTTACTGGTTCAAATCCTGTAGCTGGCAGAGAAATCCTACTCTGGTGGGCCCCTGAGCAAGGCCTTAACCTCAACTGTACCAGGGGTACTGTACAATGGCTGACCCTTTGCTCTGACCCCAAGCTTCTCTCATAGAGAGCAAGCTGGCATATGAGAAAAGACAAGTTGCTAATGCAGGAAATTGTAGAGGGCTAATAAAGTGATGTTAAAAGTTGTGAAAGTCTTAAACTTTTATTGCATTGAAAATGAAAAGTAAAAGTTATATAGTTATCACATTTTGCATAAACTTTCATGATTGTTTTGATATACCTACAGTCAGTTGTGGGCACTGCCCAGAGGAGGGCAATCTAATCCACTTGAATGAGTAGAAAGACT